ATCAAAAAATGGAGGGTCGGGCATTAACTGATGTTGAGCCGAGGGAGGTGTCAGCTGGACGTGCGAGTTCGTCGCCCCCGTAGCCCGGAGATGAAAGGGGAAAACACTCTCAATGAACTGCACATCACGAGAAACCAAAATTTTCCGAGTACGCAAATCATAAATGCGATAGCCCTTCTGAGAACCCGGGTAACCAAGAAAAACACCTGCGCAACCGCGCTCAGCAAACTTGTCGAGACCATGGTGGGTGTCCTTCGCATAAGCGAGGCATCCAAAGCTGCGGAGATGCGAATACGAAGCAGTACGCCCCAAAAGAATCTCAAATGGAGTCTTCCATCCAATAACCGAGGATGGTAACCGGTTGACGAGATAGGCAGCCGTTAGAACACAATCACCCCAAAAACGCACAGGGAGCCCGGCATGGAACATGAGAGCCCGGGCAGTCTCCAACAGATGGCGGTGCTTACGCTCAACGACACCATTTTTTGAGGTGTGTCCGTACAAGAGGTTTGGAGAACAATCCCATTTTCCTCGTAGTAATCACGTAGGGAATTCGTTCGAAACTCCAAGCCATTATCAGCTTGAATACGGCGCACTAGCTTACCATACTGTGTGCGAACCAGGTGGAAAAACATCATAAGATAGCGTTCAACATCCGGCTTGTGCTTCATTAAATAAACCCACGTGGAACGACTGAAATCGTCCACAATAGTCAAGAAAAACCGAGATCCATCGAGAGAGGGTGTCCGATAAGGTCCCCAAATATCAACGTGAATCAAATCGAAACAACCAGCAGTTTTGATCATGCTACTCAAGAAGGGGGTCCGACTCTGTTTAGCCCTCAAACAAGAATCACAATGAACGGAATCCGAAGGAGAAAAATTACAATCCACAAAGGCTTTCAATCGATTCTGCTTATCCAGTCCTGGATGACCTAGCCGAGTGTGCCAAAGTATGGATGGAGCTAGCTCATTCGTCACCTTACATGCTTGACCAAGTCGCATCCCACCACACCGGGGCAAGTAGTACATGCCATCCTTCAGCTTACCCACTCCAATCAGCGTCTTGGAAGGTAAGACCTGAAGAACGCAGAAATCATGTAAGAAAGTTACCGCCACATCATGATCACGAGCTAAACGGCTAACAGACAATAGGTTGCATTTGAATGCCGGGACATGGAGCACGTTTTGAAGCTGAACATGACTAGAAAGTCTAACATTTCCAATGCCCACAACCGGAACACCCGTTCCATCTGGAATCCGAACCTGCGAATGCCCTCCTGTCTGTACCATAGAGTCCATCCAACTAATATCGCGAACTATATGTTCATTACAGCCTGAGTCTATCAACCACATGTCGAGTTCAGGAGTATTACCCGCCATATGAGCTGTCGGAGCCGAATGATTGTCGCTGTCCGTCGTTGACAAGAAATCTTTGAGAGCCCCAAACTGAGCTGCCGTCAAGCCTGGAATGGGAGAGGTGATGTCCGGCTCCACATGAGCTGCTTTGGATCGCCGGGGAGCTTGAGTGTCGCTTGTAGCAAGTGTCTCGCGTGTGTCCAAGACGGCGACAGTTCGAACAGCGGGGACGATCTTTGTCTTCCCGCGAGTGCTCCTGCTCATCATGAGCAATGCAGTTAAAAGCGCGATTCTACCTAAAAGCGGAAAAGGGGTAAAATCGAAAAGCGGTGAATCAAAGCGTAAAAGCGTAAGTTTTTGATGCATCCTGTATAATAGTTAAAATAATGTTAAGTACGGCATAAACTATGTAAAATATGAGTTCACAGAGTTTAGATAAAAGAAAAAATACCTGCAATTCATGTCTAAATTAGAACAAACTCATAACATCATAACAATTAGTTCATAAACATAAATCGTAACCCACAAACGAGTTAAGAATCCAAATGCTTATCAATTTTCAGCCTGCTACTTTAATTGCACCAATTTCATCAATTTTTGAGCTCTTGTCCTGCAAGAGCATAAAATGGTGACTGTGAACAACTGAATATCATCTAGATCAGTGCCCCCATCGTGTTTCCGTTTCTGAATTTGAATAGGTAAGATTCCATTTTAGATTGCAAATTGAATAACGAGAAAAGAGAAAAACCTTTGACTGTGAAGAGCGACAACCGGCGGGTGAAGACGACGAGCTATGGACGACGGAGTTAGGGCGGCGGCGGGCGACGGGGCGCTGTGGACTTGCGACGGACGAGTGGACGACGTCGAGCTACGGGCGGCGGCCGAGGGAGACAGGCGGTTGACGAGGGCGACGGGCGGCAGCCGATGACCACGGGCCGCGGCCGATGGCAACAGGAGGCGGCCGAGTGAGGCGACGAGCGGCGACCGAGTGAGGTGACGACTGACGAGCGGCGGCCGAGGGAGATGAGGAGAAGGGTGGGTGGTGCGGCGCTGGAGATCGATCAAATTAGGGTTCAGCGTAACCCCTTCTCCCTTTTGGCAGCCGCAATTTTTTTTTTTTTAAATCAAAATTCAAAAACGACGTCGTTTTGATGAAAGGAGACTGTTTTGCTCCTATGCTCGGAATCGTACAATTGCGGTATAAAAACGAGTTTTTAACCGTTTCTATCGATTTTACCGATTTTACTACGCTTTTGACCGATTTTGAGTAACTAACGATTTTATTGGTGATTTGAAACGTTTTCCTACCCTAGAAACGTAAAATCGTACGCTTTTACGCTTTAAAGCGCGATTTTGACTGCATTGATCATGAGCATGCCCATCACGAGACTCTGCTGCTTGCACTTGGAACACAGCGGAGTCAACAACGAGACGCCGCGCGCTTGTGAGGAGCCGATGTTGCTCCTCCACCGTGACCATTCTATATGCATCGGCGAGCGTAGGAGTGGGACGCGTGCTAAGGATTTGCGACCTCACCACAGAGTAGGCGTCATCAAGGCCGAGGAGAAACTCGAAGAGCTGCTCGGTCTCTTGCTGCTCGTGGAATTGCCGAGCCCAGCCGCAAGTGCAACCAGTACATGTGCAACGTGCGACTACCCCTATCGACAGCTTCTCGTCCCACACTGCACGTAGTTGTGTGTAGAAAGCGGAGACGGAAAGCTTATCTTGTCGCAGGGTGCTGAGTTTGCGGCGGAGCTCATAGGCCCTTTGCGCCGTTCCTTTGCTGAATCGACCCTGCAAATCCATCCAAATATCACGCGCCGTCGATGCCGTTTGGAGGCTATTTCGAACCTTACGGGTCATGGCTGTCTTCAACCAGCCCTTAACGGTCGCATCACAGCGATCCCAGGCATCGCGATGAGCAGGCGAGCCAGCTTTGGTGCGGGGGAATGATCCATCCACGAAAACCAGCTTGTTTTTGGCGATTAGGGTTTCTGTGATGTCGTTGACCCATTCTCCATAATTGGAATCGTTCAGCAAATCACTACCGAACAATTGCGCAGGATTCTCTGAGGGATGCAGATAGAGGGGTGAGCTGATCGGGATGACGCAGGGCTCAGAATCAACCATATGCGTGCCGCCGCTAGACTCCTCTTCCGTTTTACCCATGATGAAAGAAGTTGAAGAAGCTGAATCTCACAGCTCTGATACCATGTAGAAACTAACGATTGCGGAAGTAAAAGAGAACACCGAGATTTACGTGGTTTCCCCGAAGATCGGGACTAGTCCACGGAGAGCATAGCTCTCATGAAAGATGTCAATATGGTGATGAGTTACAGTACAGAAGTCTGTTCACTCTTACCCTCTAGGGTTCGGTTAGCCACTACCTTATACCCTGCTACTAAGTTCACGGGTACAAGTAAAAGGTAAATTGCAACATGGTCCAAAATAAAACCAACTAATTACAAACCAGTCCAATATTTTGCGGTTGGTGATTTGATTTGATGGTTTTGTCTCTCGATCTTGCTTAACCAGGTTGAGCTGGAAAGGAAAAGAAAGCAACAAGTAACATTTCTTACAGACTTTGTTCAACGACTCGCCCTTCTTATTATTTGATTGTGCCCTGTGTATGTGAAGCCGGTTGTTTGATCATGATGCAGCAGTATGTTGAGGAATTGAGGACCAAGGGATAGTCAAAGGCGCACAAGGCAAGGGAGTGTCATGAACCAGTTGCTCCCAATAACTCGAGTTGTTGGGAGAAGGTTATGCGGGATCTTATACAGGCCCGTGTATGGTGCTTAACCACTTCCTTACACGCCCCCTCAAACGAAAGCCGACTCATGGGCTTGAAGTTTGCACAAGCCCGCCATACCATGTGCTTGAAAGACAACGGTTAATATTGGGGGTCGTGAGGACTTGAACACGTGACCTCACGGACAACCAGCTCTGATACCATGTCATGAACCAGTTGCTCCCAATAACTCGAGTTGTTAGGAGAAGGTTATGCTGGATCTTATACAGGCCCGTGTATGGTGCTTAACCACTTCCTTACAGGGAGAGGCTGAGGCTCATGACAAGAAACCTGAGTTGTCCGTTATGAGTCCAGAGCTGTGCACCTGTGGGGGAGATCCGGAGCAGAACCAACCAAGTGAATTGAAAGCATTTGCACGAGCTCCAGAGGTTGTACATTAATGGGCGGCTCCAGTAGGTTGGACCAAGTGTCAATGCCACAATGACAAGTCTCAAGCTTCATTAGGAACATTATTAGTGATATAATTTACTTTCACCCCAACTTGTAACATGATGGGCATTAGCTAAATCTCTCATCTCGGTGCACAGGATAGGATACAGCGCTACTTAATTGGTTTCGTCACAGGAAAATAAGTTAAGTCGGATGCAGATGCAGATGCTTGTTCACGTAAGATATCGTCTTCACAAGTTACGCAACCGATGCTCACATTATTCATTTCTAAGCTCAAGTGATCTGCCTAGGGACCCCAGTTGAGGTGATTCAACTCTCTGATTCAAGTTAGGCAACCGATGCTCATATTATCCATTTCTAAGGCCAACTGATCTGGCTAGTAACCCAAGTTGAGGCGATTCATCTATTTTCTGATTCGGATTATGCATCAGTAGACAAAATAGTGATTAGTGGACAAGACGAAGATAGTTTACTGAACAGTGATTTCGAATATAGTTGGTCGATAATTAGAAAGCATAGCAGGGTAAAATTGAGTTGCATATCCTTGTTAATCTTCCCAGCGGGCACGAGTCTGAGTGATGTTCGCTCAAAACACCCATAAAACTTGCTCAAGACGAAGTAGAATCTGCTAATAGTGAAACTGCTTGCTCTTTCAAATGTGAGGCCTGGCCGAGCACTCGAAGGAACTGCCACAACAGGAGGAACAAATCTTACACCAAGCGTTAACGTCTCGATAATTGCATATGTTTCGGTTTGCTGTGAAAACAACGCTCAGAGAAGAGAGGATTACATACAAGTTTCAGTTTACAGCAGCTTTCATATACAGTTCTTTGGCAAGGCTACGTGAAAGCGTGTCAAGGAGACGCTGGAACACGAACAAGCATGTATAATCTCAGGTCGGAGGTCAGAAACGGTGCAAGATAAATCTTACAAAGCCGAACCATTACTTGCCTTTACATGTGTCGAACAATTATTAATATCAACAGGGGTAGAGTAGAAACGCCCCACCCCAACATTTGCCACAAGTTTACAGATGATGCAATCTGTCAGTAAGCCAACAAACAGCTATCAGCGCTCCTATCGGCTGCTGTTGCTGCTACCTTGTGGTTTAGCAGTGGTGGAAGTCGTCATGAAAGACTCGCCACAACCACACTGGCCTTGAGAGTTTGGATTGATGAATACGAACTCTGACCTGCAATGCAAAGGAAAGCAGATACATATGCATTCCAGAGGGAGTATATGAGAAAGCACTGCAGGCAGCAACGATGGAAATGAGAGAGAGGCAGCAGCAGCTTGGACATTCACACAACGAATGTCAAGTAGATAACAGAGTCCGCCTATCATACTTCAAGAAACGTACCTGAGTTTGTCGTCAACAAAATCCATCTTGGTTCCTATCACGTGCATGAGAGCCTTGGGTTCAATCAGTACCTTCACACCCTTCTCTTCGATTAACTCATCGAACTTCCCTTTCTCATCTGTTAAAATCGTGAAAAGTTAGCAAAACAGCAACATCTTCTCTTTCAAATTCGGTAGCTTCAATGTACCAGCAATCACAAGTATAGAAGGTGCAGCACCAGAAACAGAAGAAGATGTTTATGGTAGCAACATAACATGAACAGGTAGCTAGCTAAACATGGTAATAACTATCTGATTGAACTGCCCGTTCGCCATACACAATAAAGTGGTTGCCGTTATCAATTACCCTTGAGGCAATTCTTGAGGGTACAAAGGAAAATGAGATAGATGCCGACAGAGGCATCCAACATATGATTCACTATTAGCCTAATAAGACTAATGGCCTCCTTTGCTCTCCTCTCCCTTGCCTAGAAATTCTATGGGGATTAAGCAAGAGGAATAGAAAGTTCGATTCTACACCGTGGATTTCCATTTCCAGAGAAGAGGATAATCATCACATCACAGCAAGATCCAGAGGATTTCAACAATACCAATTCCAGTCTCAACAGTAGACGATATCCGAATCTTGATAGGAGCATCGGAAAGCAAAACCTAAGATCCCTGAGAGGGGATTGAAAGTAGGAAAATAGCAGAAGCGAAGTACCTGCGTAATTGAGCGTGTAGGATAAGCCGTTGCATCCGCGAGCCTTGACGCCTAGCCGGAGGAAAGGCCTTTGTCGTTGCTGCAACAGCTGGCGTATCCTCGACGCCGCCGCGTCGGTTAACGTCACGGCCTGCCGCCTCATGGCGGGACCTATATTCTGCGCAGCTGCCGCCAAGGATTTGGATGCCATGGTAATTGTTTCTTCCAATTTTGTATCCAAGGGATGCTGAACTCGCTTTATGCTGATAAGGAATGATACGTCGTTCCCAATCCCGCCAACGTATTACCCAAAAAAAAAAAAATTGGTCGGAGGTTCGCTGGGGCTGGAGAAAGAGAGACGGTTCCTGATATTCCAGAAGAAACACACGGTTCTGGTAAGTTCTTCAATATTTGGTGGGCTCGTTTTTCTGCTGTGTGCCTGTGCTACACCTATGACGACTGGATCCAAGTTTTGGGCCGGCACTATTCAGACCACTTATTAAACGCAAGAACGTCTGTTCGTGGCTTCTGATTTCTGAGTTATACACAAGGTTGTTAGGCCTGCGAGTTGACCCGGACTACGTGAGAAAATTCTCGGTAAAACTTGAAACCAACTTTCATTTCATAAGATCACTTTACTTGGCTTTCACAGATACAAATTACACAATGCCACCAATTGATCCGATTTAATTGGCAGTTCGTGGTACACGTTGGTGCTGTTGAACACAGATAACATGGCAGCTGAACAATGAGCTATGTCCTCACTTAGATTCTTCATTAGTCCTGTTTCCTGTTTTTTCACCCATAGGGATAACCACTTGAATCTAATATCCATTAATGCATTTCCTCTAAAAAAGCTTTAAAAGGAACAAGATATTCGTTCCTAGGAGGACCTCCTCACATCTTTCCATCCAAAAATAAAACCGCATTTATGTACCCTACTAACACCCATTTGATTTCAATACTAGTTCTAAGGTTGCTAATATGATCCCAAAACTCCTTACTGATAGTTAGCTAGATCATACGGGGCATGTATATAAGTAATGAAAAAAATCTCATTAACATTAACAAAAGCATCTATAAAGAAATGACTACTCTCCATAATTTGGATTGGGAGATGAGTCACCCACTAAAGAGCAAGACCTCTTTCTCTCTCCACTAGCAAAGTTGAAACTTCTTAGTAAATCTCATACATTTTCTTTTTTGTTCCACGTAAGACTAGGGGTGTCCATTCGGGTTCGGTTTTTCGTGTTTACCCAAAACCGACCCGATTATATACATTTTCAGTTTTTTGGGTTTGGGTTCGTTTCGGGTTTTGGATTTTTTGGTTTCGGGTTCGGTTTTGATTATCGGTTTTTCGGGTTCCGGCTAAAAACCTCCAATAAATAGAACTCAACCCGTATTTTTAGGTGTTCGGGTTTTCGGGTTTCGGTTTTGCTTTAACCGAACCTGAACCCGATAAGGAATTTTCGGGTTTCGGGTAACCGGAACCCGCAAGTCCTTATCGGGTTCGGGTTCGGTTTTAGTGATTTTCGATTACGGGTTTTCGAGTTTTTTTGGGTTTCGGTTTGGGTAACCGAACCTGACCCGAACTGACACCCCTACGTAAGACTCATACTTCTTGGTCTCGGGCAGAAACACAAATGATGGATTAAATTTTTATCCATCTTCCGCGCCTGACGAACTGTAGGGGTATGACCGAAGCCCCTACGATTCCACACCAGTGTGTTCATGGCGCTTTGAATGGTTTGGAGTCGGCCACTGAAACCACGGTGAGACTCTTCTCAAAACCTGAAGGGACTTTTGGATCTTCATCAACCATGGCTTCCCCTTTTACGTTAGGTTGAAGGCAGAGAAGGATATCCCATGCTATTCATCTTCGAGCTCCTTCCTCCGGTGATCCACTTTCCTTTTATTTTTCTGAGCAAATGGATTAGTATTACGATGTCTAGAGCCCTAGCCACGGGTTGGACTCTTATTCATTTTATGGGCTAAACTAGATTTTGCATTGGAAGTAATTATAGTTGAATATATATAGTTTGCTTGAGCCTGGACTGAAAATGGGTTAGGGTGGAGTTATTAAAGCCCAGATGGAGAAAATGTTGGCTAGTGGGGCAGGAGAAAAAGGTAGGTTGTTGATCAGTGGGTATATCTCCGAATAGTTTGTTGAGCAGTGAGGATTTGGGAGCTAATTTCGCTAAAGTCCAAAGCGATGTTCAAGGAGTGACTGCTTGGCTGACGAGCTTGGAGATCGGGCGTGATGGACTACGAGAAGAGCTTGTGGCCCTCATCACCAACACCATCTCTAACTCCAAAAACAACGCAATCGAAGTTGTGAAAGAGCATGTCTAGGCTGAGCAGGGTGGCATGAAGGAGGCGATTGCAAACCTCAAGAGTGAGGCCACTCTCATGAAGAGAGCCATGGCTAGCGGACCAACCCCGGTGCAATCTGTCACACGTACTGACGTTCCAAGACCAAAGAACTTAAAGGATTCAATGAACGCGAGGGAGTTAACGAACTTCATTTGGAGTCTTGAGCAGTACTTCAAGGCATCCGCCATCCAAGAGGATGAGGTAAGACTTTGTACCGCTCCACTTTACTTGGTCGATATTGCAATGGTTTGGTGGAGACGACGTGAAGCAGACGACAAGAAGGGTACATGTGTGATGGCACCGTGGGATGATTTCAAGAGAGAAATCAAGAGGCAGTTCTATCCGGAGAACGTGGAGTTTGAAGCCCGTTCAAGGTTAAGAAGACTCACCTAGAGGGGTGGAGTTCGAGAATATGTAAAGGAATTCTCGGAGCTTCTTCTCGAGATCTCAGACATCACGGAAAATGAGGCCATGCATGGCTTTCTTGATGGGCTGCAACCGTGGGCCAAGATGGAGATGCAACGTCCAAGAGTGCAAGACCTTGCAACTGCCATGGCCACGACATAGTCTTTTTTTAGTACGAAAGGCAAGAGAGCAACACCAAGGAGAAGATTTCAAAGCCCAACAAGGGTGGAGAACCATGCCAAACTTTCAAGGAAGACACTCGCACCAAAGCCATTTACTTGTGTTCCTTTGTGATGTACCACATCGAAAGCGGGATTGCCCAAGGAAGGCGAGATTGGCAGCCTTGGAAGCTTAAGATAAAGAGCCCAAGGCAACGGAAGCCAAGATTGGCTCAATCCACAAGCTTGGCGCGATGAACATCGACGCCAAAGAGATCAAGCGTGGGAGGTGCTATGTTCTGGCCCAATTCATGCAAGGTGAGTCAAAAGCCTTAGTGGATACCGGTGCCACGGATAACTTCCTTCACATTGAGGAGGCAAACAACTGGGTATTACCTACGAGAAGGGCAAGGGTGGCTCAAGACGATCAACTCGGAGTCCATCCCGATCCATGGAGTTGTGCACAACGTGCTAGTGAAGCTTGGTGAGTGGGAAGGCATCATCGAATTTTCCGTCGTCACCATGTATGATCACCTAGTCATCCTCGGAATCAACTTCCTCGACGAGGGGGGTGCTCTTGAAGCCCAACTCCAACACAATGTGCTTGGAGTAGGGAGGGGAGTTCCATGCGGTCCATCTCTTGAGAGAAGATGGTCCCCATAGTACTTTGTCTGCAATGTAGGTTTTGAAGGGGTTCAAAAAGAAGGAGCCAACATTTCTTGTGTCCTTGAAGATGGAGGAATAAGGAGGCTCGACGGGAACCACAACTCCCATCATGGAAGATATGCTTGAAGAATTCGATGATGTGATACCATCGGATTTTTCCAAGAAGCTGCCACCAAGAAGAGAGGTGGACCACAAGATTGAGTTGGAGCCAGGACCGAAGCCCCCTTTGCGAGCACCATACCGCATGGCCCCAACAGAGTTGGAAGATTTGCGGAGGCAACTCAAGGACTTGTTGGATGCAGGCTACATGTGGTCATCGAAGTCACCTTTTTGGAGCACCGATTTTGTTCCAAAAGAAGAAAGAAGGGTTATTGCGCATCTGCATCAACTATAGAGCCATCAACAAGTTGACGATGAAGAACAAGTGGGTGATTCCCAACATTGCCGACTTGTTCAACCAGCTTGGGGATGCGATGTGGTTCACCAAGCTTGATCTTCGCTCGGGCTACTATCAAGTGAGGATAGCAGAGGTTGAAGAGCCAAAGACAGCTTGTGTGACGAGCTATGGCTCTTACGAGTTTTTTGTGATGCCATTCTGTCTGACCAACGCACCGGCCACGTTTTGCACTTTGATGAATCAAGTGTTCGAGCCATTCTTGGATTGATTCATCATAGTGTAGTTGGATGACATCATAGTGTATAGCAAAACACTCGATGAGCATGGCTAGCACCTACGCCAAGTCTTCCAAGTCCTTTGTGACAGCGAGTTGTATGTCAAGAAAGAGAAGTGCACTTTCGCCGCCACAGAGATTACTTTCATGGGACACATCATTGGTGGAGGCAAGTTAAAGATGGATGAGGCGAAGATGGAGGTAATCCAATAATGGGATCCTCCTACGGAGGTGCCAGAGTTGCGGTCACTTCTCGCCCTTGCAAATTACTATCGAAGGTTCATAAAGGACTACTCCAACATTGCATCACCCTTGACAGATATTTTGAAGAAGAAAAAGGCTTGGGATTGGTCGAAAAGGTGACAATAAGCATTTGAGGCCTTGAAGGTAGCGGTGATGAAGGAGCCCGTGCTCCCCAACCCAACGTTGGCCTACGAAGTGTAGAATGATGCATCTGACTTCACGATTGGCGGTGTTTTGATGCAGGATGGGCATCCCATTGCATTTGAGAGTCGGAAGCTCAATGAGACGGATATGTGATACACGGTCCAAGGGAAGGAGATGACGATCGTGGTGCATTGCTTGCGCACATGGAGGCACTAATTGTTGGGGTCAAAGTTCGTAGTGAAGATGGACAACATGGCGACGAGTTACTTCCTTACACAAAAGATGCTCACCCCTAAGCAAGCGAGGTGATAACGATATAATTACATGATTTTATACCCCTATTTCTTATCCATTTGCGGAGCATGGTTGTGTGTTTTGGCCTATTTTACGCTGAGTTGTGCTACTTTGTCCTATTTCAGGTCCCAGGCGTCAAAGGGAAGGCCAAGCACGAGTTTCGGATCGTTTGGAAGGCGTTTGGACAAGCCAGGGCCAAAACACGGGCAGGAGGCCTCAGAACACGGCCGTGTTCCTGCCCGTGCTTTTATGGCCGAGACCTTGCAAGTGTGGCTTGAACCACCTAAAAAACACGGGCAGGCCTGAGGAAAACACGGCCGTGTTTTAGCCTGAACACGACCGTGTTTTCAAGCTGCCCGTGGCCGTGCTTTTAAGGCTGAGGCAAAACACGGGCGGGCTGAGGCAAAACACGGCCGTGCCCTCGACCGTGTTTTGGCCAATGATGCCCTTTTAGGCAGATTTTCAGCCAAAGAGAAGGGGATTGGAGTTTTAGAGAGATAGAGCGATTCCTAGAGAGAGAAAGCGA